TTGGAACAAAAAAAAAAACATATGAAGAAAGACGACTCTCTATCTTTTCTTCGACGGTATACTTACTATACGAAATAGTTTTCTCCTTTTTTTGTTTTTGTTTTGTTCTACTCTAAAATGTTCTTAGAGTGATGATTGGAAACTCTTATGTTGTTTGAATACATTATATAAGATAGTTTCCATTATAATAATCTATGTAACCTAAATTTTAAATCATATATTCCAAATTAAAATATTTTCCCGAGTAGTTATAGATTATTATTTTTTTGCAAACGAAAGTGAATATTGAAAATGATTTTAAAAAATCTTAGTCAGGTTTATTCAAACATAATAAAACACAAATGAAATATAATATATATTTTTTCTCATATGACTTGGTACATAAGTTACTAGCCCTAGCTTAGTTCAAGCCAAGAATAGATTTTGTATGAACATTTAATTACGACTAAAATTTAAAATCCACCGCCAACTCCACCACCGGCACCACCACCACCACCGAATCCTCCACCAGCTCCTCCGCCGGCACCACCACCAGCACCACCGCCAAATCCTCCGCCTGATCCACCTCCAAATCCTCCACCAACACCTCCACCATGACCTGCACCACCACCGAATCCTCCGCCAGCTCCTCCACCAGCCCCTCCTCCTGCACCACCACCAACTCCTCCACCGTGACCTCCTCCTGCTCCACCACCGAATCCTCCGCCAGCACCTCCACCAGCACCACCACCAAAGCCTCCTCCGGCACCTCCGCCAGCACCACCTCCTAATCCCCCACCCGCACCACCACCTGCACCACCACCAAAGCCTCCTCCGGCACCTCCACCAGCACCGCCTCCTAATCCCCCACCGGCACCTCCACCGGCACCTCCACCGGCACCTCCACCGGCACCTCCACCAGCGCCTCCACCAGCACCTCCACCAGCACCGCCTCCTAATCCCCCACCGGCACCACCACCTGCACCACCTCCGAGACCTCCACCGTGTCCTCCTCCAACACCACCACCGATTCCTCCACCATGTCCTCCTCCAACACCACCACCTAGACCTCCACCAGCACCTCCTCCGGCACCACCTCCGAGTCCTCCACCGGCACCACCTCCTAGACCTCCACCAGCACCTCCTCCGGCACCTCCTCCGGCACCACCTCCGAGCCCTCCACCAGCACCACCTCCGAGCCCTCCACCAGCACCTCCTCCGGCACCACCTCCGAGTCCTCCACCGGCACCACCTCCGAGTCCTCCACCGGCACCTCCTCCTGCACCACCTCCTAGACCTCCACCAATGCCTCCACCGTGGCCTCCTCCGAGACCTCCACCAATGCCTCCACCGTGGCCTCCTCCGAGACCTCCACCAATACCTCCACCATGGCCTCCTCCGAGTCCTCCACCGGCACCTCCTCCTAGACCACCACCGGCACCTCCTCCAGCGCCACCACCGATACCTCCACCGTGGCCTCCACCAATGCCGCCTCCAAACCCTCCACCAGCACCACCTCCTAGACCGCCACCAACTCCTCCTCCAAAACCTTTTCCACCACCAAACCCACCGCCAAGTCCACCACCACCACCTCCCAACGTCTCCTTCTCAAGTCTCCTACACTCGACAACTCCTATCACCGCCACAACAAGCATCAAACCCAAAAACCCATAAGATACTTTCCCCATATCTTCTAATAGTTTAGAGTTTGTAATTGAGTACGTATACAACTGTTATAGTTCACTTGACTAAGCTGCTAACACTATATATATAGCAAGTAGAGCGACGCATTTATGAGTTATGGTTGAGAGAGAGAGAGCCCTCTTCAACATCTTCTTTCCTACACCGCGTTTCTCCGCATGTTCTCATGTCCCAATCCCTCATGTTCAATTTTTCTACGTAGCATTTAATGAGCGCCTCTTTCTATATCAGTCTCATAACCTGTCGTCCATTATTTAATTCCATGTTCACCTAGTTTACGTATTGAATCAATATATATTGTATAGTACTAGTTCAAACAAATATTACTAGTTGGAAAAACATATGAGGAGAGATAGTAGGGGAACGTGAGGGATGTGATTAAGTTAAGAATATATTACTCTCTTTTACATTGAGAGCTTCTCAACTACTTTGGATTTGGCAGACACATTAAATGCAAAATCCCCACTATCTATTTCATTATCCCCGCTATAGTAACCAAGTGGTAGTAAGTTAGCAACTGGTCCATACGAATATTTTCATCCTTATTTCACTATGGAGGCACACAAATAATAATCTGAAGTGTCAAAGAGTCAAATTTATGATTTTTAAAAAAAGTATCGTTATCGAATTTATTTTTAACAAGAAGTGAGTAAATCTAAAGTGTTAGTTTTGAAACGATAAAAACTTCAGTAAGATAAATCGACCAGTTACAGTATAATGTATCATTCACTGACTTCTTATTTATCCCTAATTCAAATATACATTCATCGTTGACAGAAAATAAATTCATGAAGCTATGTAATTCTTCAGAAGAAATGGTAGTTCTTGTATAATTCTCATGTATGTGAATACAAATCCATCATTTTTTTCTTTCTATGCAAGTGGTCTTCTCATTTATGATCGACAGCTCATGAAGTGTTTTTTGAGCGAATTTTATTCTATGGAGAACATCCACACATCATAAAAAAATTTTGTTCCGACAATTTTGCATTAGAAATAATCGGTGCCTCCGGGAATTTTGCTAGAAATAACGAGCAACTATTGAAGTATTGGTCGATCAGTATCTCTC